AGCCAGGCTGTCGAGGAGCTGGAGCGAGCGTTATCATCGGGCTGGAAAGACAATGAGGCGACCGCAGAATATGTGCAGAAATCCGTCGGAAAAGCTGGCAATCACGTTGCCGCTTTAAAACAAGTGACCGGCGAGGCCCAGTACACCGACGATATTCCACCTTTAAAAAATGAACTTCATGCTTCTATCGTCTTTTCGTCTCGGGCGCATGCTAAAATTTTGTCTATTGACTATTCCGCCGCTCTAGATATTCCCGGGGTTGTTGATGTCGTCGATAAAAATAGTCTACATAAGCCTGAAGACAACAGATGGGGAGCACCACACTTTGACGATTATTTCTTTGCCGAAGACGAAGTTTTCACCGCGGGCCAGCCCATCGCCGTTGTCTTAGCCACTTCAAAGGCCAGGGCCAATGATGGAGTCCGTGCGGTCAAGATCGAATACGAGGACCTCCCCGCTATCTTTACGATGGAAGAGGCTATCGAGAAAGAGAGTTTCCACAAGTGGTTTAACTACATCAAGAAAGGCGATGTGGAAGAGGCGTTCAAGAACTGCGACCACGTCTTTACTGGAGTAACACGAATGGGCGGCCAGGAACACTTCTACCTTGAGACTAATGCATGTGTAGCAATACCCAAACCTGAAGATGGTGAAATGGAGATCTGGAGCAGCAGTCAGAACCCGACTGAAAGGCATGTTTCTTAGACCAGATCCGAGAGGGATAAAGGCTAACGAGTTTATAGTCAAGTATATGCCGCGAAGATTCTTGGCGTACAGGCCAACAAAGTTGTTGCTCGGGTGAAGCGTTTAGGTGGAGGGTTTGGTGGCAAGGAAACAAGATGTGTCCAGCTTAGCACCATAATGGCTCTGGCTGCGCAACAAACCAAGCGACCCGTTAGATGTATGCTGAACAGAGATGAGGACATGATAATGTCTGGGCAACGCCACCCTTTCCTTGCGAAATGGAAAGTCGGCATCAATAAGGACGGAAAACTTCAGGCCCTTGATGTTGACGTATTCAACAATGCTGGGTGGTCCATCGATCTCAGCGCGGCCGTTTGTGAACGGTGCATGACTCATATTGATGGATGCTACAAGTTCCCCAATGTCCACATTCGTGGCCGTTTATGTAAGACAAACACAATGTCTAACACGGCTTTCCGTGGCTTTGGAGGGCCTCAAGGTATGTTCATCGTCGAGTCAATGATGTCTGAGGTGGCCGACCGGCTAGGCATAGCTGTGGAGGATCTCCGCGAAGCCAACTTTTACGATGTTAATGACCAAACCCACTTCAACCAGACCATAGAGGACTGGCATGTACCACTCATGTATAAGCAAGTGAAGGAGGAGTCGGACTATGCCAACCGACGAAACGCTGTCGACGAGTTTAACGCAAGTCACAAATGGCGTAAGCGAGGGCTCGCTCTTATCCCAACAAAATTTGGCATTTCATTCACGGCACTTTGGTTTAATCAGGCCGGCGCACTAGTTCATATCTACCACGATGGATCAGTCCTCGTTGCGCATGGAGGAACTGAAATGGGCCAAGGGCTGCACACTAAGATGATCACACTTGCTGCTGAGGCGCTACAAGTGCCAATAGAAGATGTGTTCATTTCAGAGACTGCCACCAATACCGTAGCAAACACGTCGGCTACAGCAGCTTCAGCATCATCCGACCTGAACGGTTATGCGGTGTGGAATGCCTGTGAACAGATCAACGCTCGTCTAGCGCCGTACAGAGAAAAGCTTGGCCCGAAAGCGACGATGAAGGAGCTCGCGCACGCTGCTTATTTCGACCGTGTGAACTTGAGCGCAAATGGATTTTACAAGACCCCCGAGATTGGGTACAAATGGGGCGAGAATGTAGGCAAGATGTTCTTCTACTTCACGCAAGGTGTCACAGCTGCCGAGACCGAGATTGACTGTCTCACCGGGACTTGGACATGCTTGAGAGCTGATATTAAGATGGACGTTGGCCGTTCGATCAACCCCTCTATCGACTACGGCCAGATCGAGGGGGCTTTTGTCCAAGGCATGGGTCTCTTTACGATAGAGGAGAGCCTATGGCTTCGTAATGGTCCTATGGCGGGAAACTTATTTACCAAGGGCCCAGGTGCCTATAAGATCCCAGGCTTCCGTGACATACCACAGATTTTCAATGTCAGTCTCCTCAAGGGTGTGACGTGGGAGAATCTCCGCACAATCCAACGGAGCCGGGGAGTCGGAGAACCTCCCCTGTTTATGGGGAGTGCCGTGTTCTTCGCGATCCGGGACGCCCTGAAAGCCGCACGCGCAGACTATGGCGTAAAGGCTACATTGGGTGCCGAGGGTGGTGAAAATGATGGCTTGTTGAGGCTCGAGAGCCCCGCAACACCTGAGAGAATTCGGTTATCATGTGTCGATCCTATCATGGAGCGGGCGCGGGTTCTCCCCGAAGAAGGCGAAAAGAGCTTCTTTGTCGCCATATAGTGGGCTTGCATACCTTGGGCACATTCTATGTATGATCCGGAGTACCCGTGCCAAATACATGGCAGCCTAACCAGGGAGATTGTTAGACCATATGTTGTTAATATGAAGTTGTTGGTGCCTCATATAGTATACCTGATGTGTTGAATTCCCGGCTGCCAAGACCTCACCTCCTATAGAATACATATCCCTCAAGTCTTCGGCGTTTATGTCCTAATTGCGCTCGTCTTAGTCTTATCGCCGAGCATCATGTCTCCTTAACATGGTAGTGACATTAAATAGTATTGATTCGGTAATATAGTACCGCGCTAATTACAAGACGCTAATGCTTTATTCGCAGTTTCTTTCCCGAGTTGGTTGTGTTAGAAATCGCTTTTTCCCCATGGGATTATTAATTGAACCATCACGAAGACTTGTTTGCCTACTCCATGTTTGTAAGTCGATTTGGGATTGGAGAGAGTTAATACAGTTGAATAATAGGGTCCTGATCCGCTAAATACCCCAAAAGAAAAATGTTTGGAGATTATTATATATCTGAGCAATTGCGCCGGTTTTTTGATCATTTAATGAAGTCGTCCATTTGCGCTTTATTAACTTACCCACTGATCTATTCACCCACTTGGCGGAGACAGTCGTGACGTATCGATCCAATAACGAATAAATACACTTTTACCTACTACATCCACGCACTCAAAACGTACTTTAGAATGGCGAAAATAGCCATCGTCGGCGCCTCGGGCAAACTGGGCGGAGCCACGCTCTCCGCGCTCCTGACACACAAGCTCGCGCCGCCGTCCGACGTCATCGCCTTAACATCATCGGCGCCGGAGTCGCAGACATGGACCAGGCTCGCGGCAACCGGGGTGCAGGTGCGCCACGCGCGGTTCGAGGACGCCGCGACCTTTGAGAGCGCGCTGGACGGCGTGGAGAGGTTCTTTCTCATCTCGACGCCGGACATCGCGCTCGATCTCGGCGTCGCGATGGAGTACGACGGTACGGTGGCCGATGCCGCCAGTGCCCGTGGAAACCCGGGCAGGGAGAGCCATCATAAGCGCGCTATCGACGCGGCTGTGAAGGCCGGCGTCAAATGGATCGTGTACTCGAGCCTGGCGTTCGCATTCTCAGGGGACGGGGAAGCGAGTAAGGCGGGCGTGATGCGCGCGCATCTGCGCACCGAGGCGTATCTGCGCTCTGTGAGCGCGGCTCACGGAGTCCGCGTCACGATCCTGCGCGAGGGCGTGTATAATGAGTCCTGGCCGCTGTACCTCGGGTATTTCGACGCCGGGAACGCGGAGGGCGAGAGGGATGTCGTGCCGCTCGCTGGCGACGGCAAGATCTCCTGGTCAGCAATCCACGATCTCGGCGTCGCTAGTGCGCTTGTTCTGTCTTCCGGCAATGGGGAGGAGGAGTACAGCGGGAAGACGCTCTACCTGTCCACGCGCCCCGAAACGGCGAAGACGGTCGGTGAGGTCGCGCGCCTGGTTGGGGAGGCTAGGGGCCGAGATGTCAGGGTCGAGACGGTCGGGCGCGAGGAACATGAGAGGTATTATGTGGATGAAAGGGGATTGCCGAGGCCGGCTGTCGAGTGGTGGGCGAGCACGTACCCGGCGCTCGAAGATGGGGAGTGTCTGGTCGATGACCCCACGCTGGAGACACTGTTGGCGCGTGTTGGGCTCAAGCCTATTTCGATTGAAGAGACTGTCGCTGCCATGGTTAAGGGACAGGGCGGTTGGAAGAGTAGGCAGCAGGTTTGAATCTTAGCTTGAGCTGATAGGGTCATTATAATAGCTCGAAAAAGTAGTCATATTAATTCACACGAGGAAAGAGATTGACTTGCGCAATGGGTAGACTAGAGCTTAAGTAATCACTATAGCTAGTAGCAGCTACACAACTAAGGTAGTTCTGTCACGATGCCATGCTAGTAGAACAAAGTACGGCCAAAGGCTAGGTAGGTAGGCAGGCAGAAACGAAGAATCTAGAGCTGTTCGCGAATCAACACGAATAATCATAATCTTGTCGTAATACCCAATATATCTAGTCATGAACAGAATACAGACAGGCGTTGTATTTAATAGATACCTAGGATAGATAGCCTGATGCTACTTTGAGTACGCATAACTATAAATACAACCGTGGGAATGGGCTTGTTTCTAGGGTATGTAGATGCAACTGGCTCTAGATCTATTCAATAGCCTCTGCCGATAAAATATACATGTGAAGAAGAGACGGTAGAGTAGGGGAAAATAAGAAATAAAATGAAAACCTTTATCATCACCACAAATAAATAGCCTGTGGTGTAGGATACGAGGGACCGACGGACAGTGCTATATAACCCCTCACCTCATATGGTGGATAGATACCTGCTACAAGCGCATACATTATTTCCTTTACAAAAATCAATAATACACCACAATCGCCGTCACAAACTTTTCATTAACAAGTAGGCATTCAACGCTGCCTCTTCGGCGAGGGACTAAAAAATGAATCTTAAAAAAAGTATTGTCTCTTTATTAGAGATGAAAAAATAATGATGATGAGAGTGGGACTCGAACCCACGCGGATTGCTCCACTGCGAAATTCTTGATGATCTGATTTCAGATCCAGGAAGATCCAGGTATACCTGAACGCAGCGCCATAACCACTCGGCCATCTCACCGTTTGTTGATGTATATTGTTCTTTTTGGGAATTATTACGAGATGGTGCTGCGGGTTCTAAGGTGAATAGTGGGATTTTGTGCTATCGTGGACGGTGGGGTGATGACTGGTGCGGGGCTAGAATTGAGAAAATACTCGGACTAGACTGGATTGGGATGGTACTACATCCCACTATACAATCTACTCTATCGCCGCTAGCCCATTCTGAGTAGGTTCTGTATCTAACCCCTCCGTCGGAGTGAGGGGTATCAGTTATATACCTAGGTACTTTGAGTCCTCAGGAAGCACCTCGTTTGGCAGGCTATCAGAGCTTCTAGATGTAACGTACTACCTTAGACTCGAAAATTATCCCTTAGGAAAGGTTCCTCTTAGCTTCTTCCTTGATATTAAAGTGACCTATTTATCGCGCACTCTGAAACTCTCTAGTCGCAAATTTCAATGAGAGTCCGATACCTAGCGCTATCTTGGTGCTATCAGTACATACTAATGATGGAATAATGCCCTGTAATAGGTTGTAGAGCCTGTATAACTTATTCGTTTGCCTGGCGCCACAGGAGTTAAGGATGTTGTTAAGTACGTTGTTGTGGAAATTCTTGTATATATTGTTTAAGTCCGTACTGCGCAGCGACAGCTGTGAACTCTAGAAAGCATTCAGCTTCGTAACTACGGCAATTTCTACCCTATCTGTAATAAACCGCTGTTCATCCCAAGCTTCCATTAACAAGGGAATGTGTCATTCTCGTTTGTTAACTTCGTCTCGTCAATGTCGAATGAGAGCTCACGTGTCCGTTTCAGCATCCAAATGCAAAATAAACAAACCGCGATTCTGACAGTTAAAGAAAATAAAAACTTGCATACTAGTGTAAATCAACGCGTTGGATTGCTTCATGCTGTCTAAAATTTCCTTGGCCTATTGTATCCCTGGATTCCCTTATCCGTTCTTACTCGCTCTGCGATAATTAGAGTTAGTTCAATAATAAGCTGGGGAATTATGCGATGCTATCGATTCTCGTCGTTTCAACGGCCATGGCGGACGGGCCCTCTGGCATAGTCACTGAGCCAGCGGTTAAGATGCCAGACGAAGCCGTCCCAGTGATCAAAGTGATCATTGAGCATATGTTCAACCAGTCTCTCTGCTTCGACTTTTTGCGCCTTGGAGCACATGCTTGGTGGAATGAACGGCCCACGGTAATGGGCCATCAGGGTCTCATAAGCACGCTGTATAAATTCTCCGTGCTCAACAAGGCGTTTCTTGTGTTCCCAACGTTGGGGGTCGCGTTCTTGCTCGTACCACTTGCAATCCTCTAAATACAAATCAAAGTCGGATATATTGCGGCGAAGTCTTTGTGCAAGGTCCGTAACTTTGCCTGGTTGTCGCACTGCGGTGTGGTCGCTGGCCCACGTTGCAAAATCCATCATATTAGGGGCCTGGAATTGGTAGCCTTGATATTGGATCGTAGTCTCAGCCGGCGCATAGTCAAGCCGAGTCTCCAAGCGATGCTTTTGTTCTCCCCAGCCGTCTTCTACTCTTCTTGATGCCATTGCTACAGTTCCTGACGAATAACTTGGGCCAATTGCACCGGAATAGGGATTCGAGATTTGTGAATAACCATCATATGGCGAGACTGGTCCTACCCCATAAGGAACCAGAGCCAGGTTTGCTGGTGTTCCGCCGTATCTGGAACTCTATGTGTCGCTAAAATTTAATCCCTCTATACATAACAAGGGACGAGACAGACTTACACCTTGCTCGATTTGTTGTTGCTATACAATAAAGCATGTTAACAAAACACTTTCAAACGTCTGGCGGGGCAAGATGACCTTACGTGGTGATGATCCCCATGGCTATGCTTTTTCTTTCGAGGTGAATGCCCCGAGCGTTTGCTAGTACGAGGCATCGGCTCGATATACGGTTTAGACGATTGTCGAGGCATCGGTGAGTATGTCAATTATGAGGATATGAGGTAGTATGGGTGAGGTAGGAATGGCAAGAAAGAAGCGGAACGTGCTGGTTCCTTGGGGTCTAATTATACGAATTCATTCATAACTTTTACCCTCAAATCCGCTGGAAGTTGGCAACGCGTCACAAGTAACGCAAAAGTGGTGACAAGGTGATACACAATGCAAGGGATTCACTCACGTGTTCCTAGGATGGCGACGACGATACTAAGTATGAGTTATGTATCGATTGTATATAGAAACCGATGGCACCTTGGCATTCTCGCGCCGACCTGAGTTCCAAATATCCCATCATAATTGGGTTTGAATCCCGGGCTAGAATGAACCACATGGGATTGCACCTCACAGTACAGTTAGAGTGAGTAGTATGCTCCTTGAAACGATACTAAGTAGGCAAGGAGTGACTTTTGGCTGAGGAAATTACATCATCTAGGATTCAATCAGTATTCTAGAAGATCGGTGAGCTGAGGACCCCATTCGTATCAAGGTTGTAACCTGTAGACATTATGTTGTTCATCGTTGTCGGGGACACTCATCCATCAGAGTCTAACAACGGGGGGACACGAGTAAAGGGAGTAGACGATTGTTGAACATGGTTGGTAAATTCGGCATCCCTTGGCTCTTGGTCGTTTGTTACAATAACCTTCTTTCGATTAGCTCAGAGTATCAGACGCGCGTTATATTTTGCCCCTTCGTCTCTCAGTGGATGAGTGTTAGGAAATGTCTTATATCTAGGAAAAGGACCTCGTCTCACAATTAGGCGTACAATTTATCCAATTATCAATACCGACTGTTTAGTTTCGAGTGTTTGTTCACATGAATGCTGTGAAATTTTTATTCCAGGAAGCATGGTACTCATGCCACTATACGGATCCTGCGCTTGCTTCTGGGCTGCGGGTTTTCCCTCTAGAAAGCATCATTAATGCGATGATTACAATATTCATCCGTCTTTATATGGGACACTCAGCTTTCCGGGGGATGGACGGATAAGTGTCTTTATATCAACTTGAAGGGAAATTCGTGGGCCTTGTGTTGTCGATCTAGGGAGGGAGGAGTAATAAGCTCTCAAGCTTAGTGGCCAACCGAGGTAGGTGGCCAGGTTTTGAATTACTTACGTATAGGATCCTAACGTTACACGACTCGTCGGGATAGCAAAGGGCAAAGGTTGAAAAAAAAAAAAAACCTCAAAATCCACGTTCTCTCCTTCAACTTGATTATCGTTTTAAGTGCACATGATAATATCCCTACACAAACCTGGGGCGTACCTCGGTAGGCACTAGATAGATAGGGAGGTACATGCAGCCTAGGGAGCGGGGCTTTTTATCATTACCTGTCCTGAACGGTTTCAAGTCACTAGGAATAAAACCTTTTCTTGTAAATTATTTTCGAATGCGCACCCAAGATATCAAACTGCTACGATATGACGGGACCGAAGCCAGGCCAGAAAACGGTGCTTGTGACTGGGTACGATGACGTTTTATGTTACGCGAGATTTCCCAACACATAAATCACCTATACTAAACCACGCTAACACAATATACCATCATTTGTAGCTGTACACCGGGAGGTATCGGCCATAGCATATGTCTTGAGTACCACAGACAAGGTAATGCACGGATTCAATTGGAATATTACTTCTATTATCAAGACCGCTTTACTGACCATGTGCTAGGGCTGCATGTTATCGCCACGGCGCGGCGGCCTGAAGTTCTCTCAGAGCTGGCCGAATTAGGTATGAGCACTGTGGCACTGGACGTCACCGATGCCGAAAGTATCCAGAGGGCCCACGACGAGATCGCCAAAATCAATGGCGGCAAACTAGACATTCTCGTAAATAACGCGTGAGTAGTCCGCGCCATGTTCTCCCATCAGTCCTCTCAATGGCTTCGAGGATGAATGAAAAACACACTTTTTATACGATGCGGATGCTCAACCGAGTATGATAGGGGGCGTACGCACACGCATCCAGCACTGGACATCTCGCTTCCCGATGTCCGCGCGACGTTTGAGACGAACGTCTTCTCCATCATGGCTATGGTTCAGGCGTTTATCGACCAGCTGATTACTGCGAGGGGCTTAATAATCAACATCTCGTCGCTCTCCTCCATCTCGCCATACCTATTTGGGTCGGTCTACTGTGCTAGCAAGGCGGCTGTCTGCGCTTATTCACGCACGCTGCGACTGGAACTCGCCCCCTTCGGCGTGCGTGTTAGTAAGTAGTCCTCTAGCTTGACCCTTCTAGTTCCGAGAGAAAAGCGCTCGCTTTCAGCCTGGAATTAGATCCCTGGACTATTAGCCCTTCCGAACGTCTATAGATCCTAGTTTCGATAGCGACACTGACGCCGAGTATCACAGTGGTGTCGATGACGGGAACAGTGAAGAGCAACACGGCGAGCCAGGGCCACCGCACTCTACCAGAGAATAGTCTTTACCAGAGGGTAAAGCACATTTTTGAGTGGCGGCTCGTATTCAGCCAGAATAACGATACGATGGACACAACGACCTTTGCAAAGAAACTGGTCGCGGATTCGCTTCTGCCTGAAAGACCGGGATGGCTCCGAAACCTATTTGGACGCCCGGATTGGTTCTGGTATGGCGGCCTCGCGCGGTCAGCGTGGTTTGGGCATACTCTTGGCGAATGGGTGGTTGACCTATTGAGCTGGAACAAGTTCCGCATGCCGGAGATCATGAAGCTTATTGGGGAAGATCCGGCGCAGAAGAAGCAGAAGTAGCCGGATCTACTTCGATTTGATGGCTTATGAATATATATGTTATCTGCGTGGCGTGTTATGATAGGCTTTATTTTACCTCCGTCTCGTCCTTCTATTTTTCTTGATTGATATAATCATGCATTCGCTTCTGAGCACTGTAGATCTAAGAATATGGTCTAAATTATATTTTCTCACACGACTCGGTCAAAGGTAGTAGAGGCGTTCATTCAACGGCCCTCCACCGGTTCTCTAACTGGTCAGCAACCTGTGCCGGCGAGCCAAGTATATCATTTCCAATAGCAGTAGCCTGCCGGCCATATTCAGCACCCTT